TGCTCCGCTGCGGGCATCCTCTATCTTTGTACATTTCTGAGTCACACTGGAGGCAGGTGGCCCGCTGCTGTCTGCGCCTGGCATCGCGGTGCCTCGCCTGCAGTCCGGCCTACGGCGGGCAGGGGCAGGCTGCTAAGGGAGGGGACACAGAGGAAACGGCAGGCAGGGCAGGTCCTGGGAGGTCAGGGCACCGGGGAGATAATCGTCTCTGACACTCACCTGTCCTTCCTTCCTAAGTCTCCGATGCTGTCAGAGGACAGAGCTCTTACTAGCCAGCAGCCGCCTTGTGTTCAATTTCAGGGCATGAAATAACTGAGCACCCACTATGCAAACTACCTGCACCCACAGCCCTGGGATCTAGTTATTGAAGGGGGTGAATGGTGCGATGGCGAGGGCCTTTCTGACTTTGCCTCCGCCTTCTTGGATGGCTCCCGCCTGTCTATTGCTGATTCCTGGCAATACTCCTCTAATAAGTGGGGATGCTATCAGCGACGCTTTTCTCTCAAAAAACATCCGTGTGATAAACCAGATATATTCGCTTTACAGTAGGCAACCACTATGGCCCGTGGCATCCACACCCCTGTGATAAAACGTCTCTATCCAGCACTGTCCCTTGGATCGTCCCACCACAAACCATCCCAACAAGACAGAAAAGAGTTTCACTTGTGTGTTTCAGAGAAGAGCATTCAGAAGCACTTCTTGGACAGAAGGGAAAGGCCAGCAGGGAGGCTCCTGCGGGCTGTCATGGGCATGTGGGTGACAGCAGTCAGATTTTCTCTGTGGCCCAGCCCAGGGCCATCATCCTCGGGCACCTTCCTGCCAGCAACACTCCAGACTCACCTTAGGTACTGAGCTGTGAAAGTCAGATTCCCTTTGGGAAAAGCAGGTGACTCCCACTCTAGAATGTTCTTGAAATTAACTGAATTCATTCTGACGTTTTCAGGAGGAGGCACCATTCCTAATGCTGTAAAAATAAAGGGGAAAAGCTTGCAACTTTTTTCCTCAAAAAGGTTGCCCAAGAAAATGACCGGATCCGACACTGAGGCCTCCCCTACAGCTCCACGTCTTCAAATGGGCACATGAGTGGGGAAGAGAAAGGTGTGAGGGTGGGCAGGACTTTAGACACATTCCCAGAGGTAGAAACTCTGGACTTTCTGACACACAGACTTAGTCTCCAGGCCCCGCTTGAGCACCTGGCACCCTGATTGGGGCTGGGGGCAGGGAAAGCAAGAGTCTCGTTTTAGCTGCATGAGGTTTGGGATGCTGGAGACAGACACAAGGAATATCAGGGTCAGCGGGATGAATGAGCCTGAGGCCCTGCACACAGACCTGGGCTAGAGAGAGAAATCATTTTTAAACTTGTTAACAGAAAATGTCAAACACACACAAAAGCAGAGAGACCAGCATGAAAAACCATCACTGGCCCATGGCCGAGATAGCACCAATAGAGACGGAAATCTGAGTCATGGGCCTAAGGCCGGCACTTAATGCCGGGGTTCTGCTGATATCCCCCAAAGCAATGGTGTAGGGGAAGGAGAGAAAAGGGCCCGGGCATGAACTTGGCAGAGATCTGGCAGAGGTAGAGCGTTGGGAGCGGAAATAACCTGAGGGGAAGGAGACACCAGGGGAGCGTGTGTCCCGGAGGCCAGGAAGGAGCCCATCAAAAAGGGAGGGGCCCATCATTGCTTGAACCTGGGCAGGCAATTCAGAGAAGGGTGAAACCGAGGGTCTTTAGGACTTTGATTAAATTTAGGTTTGAACCCTAGCTCTAGAAATCATATCCCTTTCTACACCCTTCAGAGACCTAGTCTTTCCCCCAGATAACCAGCAAGCCCCCTGAGGCAGCAGAAGACAGTTGCCTGGACCCGACTTAAGGTCACCGCGTGGGACCCCTGCCGACTCAAGATAACACCTGGACCTCAGTTCAGTTTCAGCTCCTGAGCCCTAAGGTGGAAGGACCCACCCCCAGGCTATTTTCCCACGAGAACAGACAGGGGGACAAGGGAACAGACCCCAGAGCTGTCCCCAAGACCTGAAGAGATGACTGGTCACCCTCACCTCGCCTCACCTCTGACAACCAGCTCCCAGCAGGCCCGACCCCTAACCCGGTGCCTGTGACTCTGCCCTGCAGAACCTGCCACCCGCGCGCCCTGGGGAGTTGGGGCTCTTGAGGGGAGCCTCCCGTCGTCCTGGATGGAGCCATTCATGATAAAACAGCCGATCTTTCCCCCCTGCAGGCCTGTGTCCAGTGTCTGGCTCTGGTGTCTAGTGTCTGGGGGGAGGGCCTTCCTGTCCTGTCCCAGGCGCAGGAGGTTTCACTGGATTAGAACTCGGAAGCCACAGAGCTGGGATTTAAGGGGCCAGAAATCAGATGTTGGGGTGCTGAGCTCCTGAGTGCGCGGCCTACTGAGCACCGGTCACTTCCAGGGTGTCCAGGGGTCCGCTCGGAGGTGGCCCTTGGGGTCATCGCTTCCCCCAGGTCCCAAGCGCGCGTCGGCCGGGGCGCGCGCGGCCCAGGCGGCGGTCCGGGTCCCCCAGCAAGT